CTATAATAATATTTTCAGTTTTATTTGTAAAGTGTCAAATCACAACAGAAGTGATCTTATGGCAATTTATATAGTACGTCTAGACCTCACTGTTGTACCTGTCCATGTCACCCTTTTCAGATCTCACACTTTTCTATCCTTGTTCGCTCCAAACAGGGCTCGATGGAGGTGGCTGGTGACAAGGCGCTGCTACTCAGCCAATGCCTGTGGCCAGAGCCTACATGTGGCGGCGAGGTGGTCATCACCATGAAGATCAGGCCTTTCTTTGCCTCCAGATAATTGTTGCTGAGGGTTTCAACTCAACACCTACAGGAACCTGCCAAAATAGAACAGAAGTATTGAACAAGGTCAAACAGCCACAAGAACACGTTTACACACAGCCAACGCCGAGTCTGGAGGAACGCAGTGAAAGTGAAGAATGAAATTGAAATGTTTTTGCAAAGTGAAATAAGTGATTTAATGTAATAAACTTGCCTTGTCTACAGGAAAGGAAAAATGTTTTGCTTGTAATTAAACGTGCCGCAGTGTCTCCTTTATTATGTGTGAAGGCGTTGGCGTGCACCGGCAGGATGGCTTAATGCCAGCTGTCCTCTGCTACTCAGTAAAGCCACTGAGGAACATACCTTGTCTCTTCTGGTGGTTGCTGCGCCTCTGGACTCTGGAAAAGAAAACATACGCACTATGTTATTATTTACAATCCTGCTGCTGAACAAGAAACTAAATCCTCATTCAAAGCAGAAAAACATGGAGAAATAAGCACATCTGGTGCGAATACAAGCAACACTGGAGAAGGTTAAGTTGTAAAAGAAATGTTTTGTAAATGAAAAACTATAGATTCAGTTTTCATACATATTTATAAAGTTTATGATTTGAATTAGGTCTGAACTGCCACTGCTTAAACAAAGAAAAGGCCACCAAATAACTGATGTTTTACATACAACAGTCACATAGACAACTCTGCCCTAACCCGCAGAATTGATGCATGCTGACTCTGTATCATACCATCACAACACTCACCCAACTTCTGAAAATACTTTGCAAATAAAATAATCCCTCCCAGTCTAGGATAAAGCTGCTTTTTTTTGCCAATTTCTCAGGTAAAACCATTTGTCTGTAGTTGGTTAAAGATGGTGCCAGGAAATAACGTAATTTCTGACTTCATACGAAGCCAGAGTGATGAAGTCATTTCCTGTCACCATCTTATTTAGATGAGAAGAATGGATATGCGAGAAACTGATTAAAATTATATTTTAATTGAACCCGATGACTTTAATTCCACATCTTTAGAAGAGTCTATGAGGGTTCAAGAAATACCCTCAGAATTTAGGTAAATGTTGTCAAATGACAGTATGGGGTTAAAACAGTCGGCACGCATCAATTCCACAGGTTGGCAGAAGACACAAACGTATGTAACACATGAGAGTCACAGGCTGGGACTTAAAATGGACTGTATTTTTATCCAATGCCAACTTCTCAAACCATGCACATAGAAAAGTTCTCCAATCTGACAGTAAAGGGATAGGTCAAGATTTTAAGTTACTGTTAAAACACATTCTAAGACATTCTGTCTGAGGCGCGGTCACTCTCCACACTGATCTTGATTATTTTCACCAAGAATGTAACTACACTGAAAGAAATGAGGGACAAATTACCCAACAGTTCATCAGAGGTTCAGCTGCAGCTTCAGGTGTCCCACCAAGCTAATTCCAGTCAGTATATTTCAAAGTCAAGTCTATTTACACCTTTCCCTGTTTTATTTCCCTGGACAGTACCTTGTCACGGCCCTAAGCGACAGCAAGAACTAACAAACACTAGCATACATTTCAGCTAACTAAACCACAGCCACACACAAAGATGCCACATGAAGGTTTCTGCGATGCGTCTCACCTACCGCCAAGTTGCCAGGGGCGTCTGGCCAGATTTAATAGTTGAAAAACATTTCACATGTAAGAATATTTTACTTTAACAGATGTGATGAATTTGATGCATTACTAATCCTTCTAGTTTTCTAAGTTAAGATAGCTGAGGATCAGGTGAAGAAAATGTATTTGTAAGTTTAAATAAATAATACACCAGCAAGATACTGGAAATTATATTTATCAGATATCTCACTGTATTGTTATTATGTTAAGTAGCCTTAAACTGTGTACTTTAAAGTGACTGGTGCCACTGGGCAAGTCTTTCTACAGCCTATAAATGCACCTCTGAGTTGTCTTTTGATGCAGTTGCACACAACTATAAGACAGTGTGTGTGTATACACACACACACACACACACACACACACACACACACAGTACCTTGCAAAAGTATTCATACCCCTTGAACTTTTCCACATTTTGTCACATTACATGCATAACTGTGAAGTGGAAGGAAAATGATACATGGTGTTCAAGATTTTTTACAAATAAAAATCTGAAAAGTGTGGCGTGCATATGAATTCAGCCCTCTCAGCCCCCTTCCTCTGATATCCCTAAATAAAATCCAGTGCAACCAACTGCCTTGAGAAGTCACCTAATTAATAAATAAAGTCCACCTGTGTGTAATTCAATCTCAGTATAAATACAGCTGTACTGTGAAGGCCTCAGAGGTTTGTTAGAAAACATTAGTGAACAAACAGCATCATGAAGACTAAGGAACACACCAGACAGATCAGGGATAAAATTGTGGAAAAATTTAAAGCAGGGTTAGATTATAAAAACCATCCCAAGCTTTGAACGTCACTGTTCATGCCATCATCTAAAAATGGAATGAAGACATGGCAGTCCACCTAAACTGATGGGCCAAGCAAGGAGAGCATTAATCAGAGAAGCAGCCAAAAGGCCCATGGTAACTCTGAAAGAGCTGCAAAGATCCACAGCTCAGGTGGGACAATCTGTCCACAGGACAACTATTACTCGTGCACTCCACAAGTCTTGCTTTTGTGGAAGAGTGGCAAGAAGAAAGCCATTGCTGAAAGAAAGCAATAAGAAGTCCTGTTTGCAGCCATGTAGGGGACACAGCAAATGTGGAAGATGGTGCTCTGGTCAGATGAGACCAAAACTGAAGTTTTTGGTCTACATGCAAAACACTGTGTGGCGGAAACCCAACACTGCACATCAACCTGAACACACCATCCCCACCGTGAAACATGGTGGTGGCAGCATCATGCTGTGGGGATGCTTTTCTTCAGCAAGGACAGGGAAGCTGGTCAGAGTTGATGGAAAGATGGATAGAGCTATATTCAGGGCAATCCTGGAAGAAAACCTGTTAAAGGCTGCCAAAGACTGCCAAAGAAGAAGTTCACCTTCCAGCAGGACAACGACCCTAAACATACAGCTAGGGCTACAATGGAATGGTTTAGATCAAAGCATATTCAGGTGTTAGAAATAGCCCAGTCAAAGTGCAGACCTAAATCCTATTGAGAATCTGTGGCAAGACTTGAAAATTGCTGTTCATAGACGCTCTCCATCTGATCTGACTGAACTGGAACTATTTTGCAAACAAGAATGGGCAAAAATTTCAGTCTCTAGATGTGCAAATCTGGTAGAGACATACCCCAAAAGACTTGCAGATGTAATTGCAGCAAAAAGTGGTTTGACAAAGTATTGACTCAGGGGAGCTGAATACATATGCATGCCGCACTTTACAGATTTTTATTTGTAAAAAATCTTGAACGCCATGTATCGATTTCCTTCAATTTCACAATTATGCAATACATTGTGTTATGAAAATCTGCATTTAGAATTTAACCAAACATCCTGTATCATAACTACATCTCTGGAGTTAGTCACAAAACAAACTGCTGGAAAATCAGCAATGTATGATGATTGTAGTGTGGCTAACTCGTCCTCATGACCACAGTTTTCACTCCTTTTACACAGGTTTTTCACCGAATTGTAGACACATCTGTGCTCTTCCTGACAGTAGAACTGTGGAAGCAAATGGATTCACAGAAGATGCACAGTGAGCTGCAGAGTGACACAAGTGCCAACCAACTTCTATGGACTCCTATGTAAACAGTATTAGGCAAGTGGTCAATGTTATGGCTGATCAGTGTACATGCGCGTTAAGAGGCGCAACATCGCAGCCGCGGTAACGTATCGCCGTGATAAACGTAAGTGGCTCATGCGGCATCTGAGTGTATGTGAACGATAGCATTTAAAATTCTGTTTATACACATACCCATAACTAGCATAACAATTCAGAACCTGTCCTAGCCACCAAACAGTTCAACAAAGTCATAGCAGCAAGTAAGAATTCCATTTGTACAGGGAAACACGTTTCCCTGTACAAATGTGCATATGACAAAATAAATACTTTGAACTTGAACTAGCAGGCCCTAATAGACACTAGCAATATTTCAGCTATCTTAATCAAGCCACAGCAAACAAACTAGCTAGCAAACATTTTAAATGCTATCGAAGCACAAAACATTTACAGTAACCACCCAAACATCCCAGATAATCCATCCAAACCAACTCTGCTGCCCTTCAAACTTGATTTCATCCTGTGTTGTTAACGTTAATCACTCAAATAAGGTTGACCAAACTTCTTCTGTAGCCACACATTAGCTTGCACAATGTAAGCCTGCCGCATGCATCACACATATGGTTAAAAGCTCACCCTCCCGCATTAATTTACCTCAACTTCGCAACCATAATTCACACAAATGTGCAGTTTACAATTTACTCAGTCCACTTACCTATCTTTCCCCCAGTCACAAACATTTCTGTCAGGCGCCGTTGACTCCATCTTCGTCAACTTCTTCTTCTTCAGGTGTTTATTGGCTGTTGACAACAGCTTAACAGGTGTATTACCACCACCTAGTGGAATGAAGTTTGGAACAGGTGTCAACAGGTGATAAATCTGTCATTCTGGTCCTGATGCATCACACCCGATATGTCAAACTATCTCTGGGAAAATGTGGTCAGATATATTTCCAAACGTCATCTCAGATATTCATGTTGTCTGCTGTCAGAGTATGCAAGGGTTACTAGTTACTGAAGCACAGCAGTAGTAGTAGCAGTCAGAGCAAGTCTTGGGTTTCTTTGCCTAATTGGTTGAGTTGGCAGGAGAGATCTAATGAGTGACTGTGGAACCACTGGTAGTGGCTTCAGCAGGTCTAGAAACAGCAACAATAAAACAATGTAAGCAGTAAAAACAGTTAGCACTTGATTAAATGTCCACCATGATTTGATTAACCCTTGTGTTCTGTTAAGAATCTTAATATGATAATGTGAAGCTCAGACTACAGGCATTTTAGGTGAAAACGGGGCCATGACAATTTATTAGGAATGTTTCATCAAGTCTATTTTTCTTTTAGACATTGAGCAACTTGATGTTCCATGTTAAATAAACTGAATGTCATGTGTAAAGACCTCTGGTACAATCCAGCAAAATGGCAACACAATGTTTAATATTGTAAGTGGCCCCTTAAAATCAAATCACACAACTTTTTCCCTTGTACGTTACATTTGTTGCATTTTTTCTACTTTGTTTAAAAGCAAAACGAGAGAAGATTGAATGGCCAAGTTGGAGCTCAGTGCTAGAACATGGACATGGAACCATGAATATCATTAATCATTTAAAAAAACAAAAACCCCAAGTATTACGCTCTCGATGTTTAGTGATTTTCCAATTTACAGCAGAGGCAGGAAAAAGGACACAAATAACCACAGCAGAAACACCCTGTAGTGCTGATAATCATGCTTTATTAAACCAATAACTGGAGAAAAACTCAAGGAGGCTGCAAAAATAATCAACGCTACAAATCTTAACTTCAATCAAACCAAAGTGCAGGGCGACATAAGACCATGCATCTTGTCGTCATCAGTGAACGCAGCAGTGGTTGGTATCAGCTGCTGTGCATCAGTTTAGTGGCGCCCAGCTTGACTGACAGGTGAACTTCTAAAAACTAACACACAAACACACTGCATGCCTCCAAGAGACAGCTCTGCCTCTGCAAACAAGCACAAGATGGACTCTGTTTATGTGATTGGCCAGGTTGATGGTATGAGGAGGAGCCCAAGCAAGTGGTGGTTTGCCAGAAGCAGAGCACAAAACAAAACAAAACAAAACACTTGTGCTCAGGAAGTGCAGGCCGCTCGCACTGTGAGCATGTCATCAAATGGTGTTATGACATAATCAGTCAGAAGGCGAGGTCCAGTCGTCCTGCTTACATGAGGGTAAATGCAAACAGCACTCAGGATCTCACGCTCTTGTTACAATGTAACAGCACTACTCTCACTCTCCAGCAGTGCGTTCATAATTTTGTCTCTGATTGAGTGAACGTCAACAGGGAGCCTCTCTACCTGTTGAGGCAATCTTAAGACTTCAACTTATCGTTGAGGCACAGAGTTTAGTTTCTCAGTTTAACAGGGTATTCGTTCCTGGTGAAACTTTCTCCTGTTAAACCACATTTAGTTTCATTTTGTTTGTTAATATTATTGTCATAAATAACAATGCATACATTTCCCATAACCGTTAAATTCGGCTATATACATTATGTACATGTCACAGAAAAATGGATCAAACATCCTAAGTCATAGTTATCCAATATGGCACATTTTATAACAACTTTAGACTTTAGTCTACTTTGGCATAAATTAATGTCAAGATTGGTACAAAAATAGTTCATATTTACAAGAACAGAAATCCAGATCTTTATCAAGTGATTTTGCTCAATTAAAAAATAAAAAGGCATAGAAGTAGGGTGGAGGGGAAGTTTGGAAAATTAGACTTTGTTTACGCTGATCGAACGCTAATGTGAACAGTCGCTGTGTCGGATCCAAGCTCGTTGGACAGTTTGAGGGTGTAGGTTCCAGCGTCTTCCTTCCTGACCCCAGTGATGATGAGGGTGGTCAGGTCCTCTGTGGTCTCTATGTGGAAGCGTCCACCAGCAGTCACCTTGATGGCTCTGCCTCCACGGGACCACTCAATGATTTTGGCGTCGCCAGAGAAGGCACAGGCGACCGTCAGGACTTTGCCTGGTTCAATACTAATGTCCTCCGGCAGAGCCTCGATCCTGGGAGCTGAACCTGGAAACAGATACAAAGGGGCAGTGATTTTTTTTTGTGTGAGAGAAATTTCAGTGGCCACAGCATTTCACAACAGAAAGTGAAGAACGCAGAACAAAATTCTGATCTTCACATGCAGGTACAAAGAAGGTCAAGTTGATGATGTGTTGCTATTAATTTCAAAAGAGCTGCCTTGGAATGGAAGCCTATGAATAAGAGTGTGAATGTGAGGGAGCTAAAGCAGAGCTTTCTTTAAAACAGAGAGCGTCTTACCGATTGCTCTGAATGAAGAGCCCTCCAGGTGGGAGGCCATCTCTGTGGAGCTGCTATATGCCTCAGATGTCATGGATGACATAGACATAGTCTCCAACTTCATCTCGGCTGCCATACTGCTGAAGGAGCTGGACTCCATCTTTGATGATATCATTGCCTGCCTGGCAGAGGAAGAGGTGGATGACGACTTCTCCATTTTGTGGACTTCCTTCTTCATCATCATGGATGAGCTCATGGCTGATGACGACTCTTTTTGGGTCATCGTCACTGATCCTGTTTAGGGCAGAGACGGAAATAGTGAAGGTCATTTTTCTGAATTAGCCCAAAGCTATGTCAGAAAAGCCTTATCATCATTTCATAGCACAAAATTGGACTAAATCTGCTTGAAATCTTGAGGGAGGTGCTCACCTTTAAGTGCTAGTTGCTGCTCACGGTAGGCTGAGATCTTCATGCGTATGGACTGGAACACCTGTCCGGTGAAGAAGAAGGAGGATTTGGATACCCCCCCATCCGATGTCATCTCACAGGTGTACTCGCCCTGATCACTGTCTAATAAATCATTGATTACAAGGCTGCAGGAGCCCTCTGAGTAGTGCATCTCAAAGCGGCTGCTCTTTGACAGCCTCCTCCCATTGACATACCACAGCACCTCCCTGACGCTGCTCTCACAGGCACAGGACATTCTCACAGAGCCCTCACAGGCCTCGGCTGTTAGCTGACTCAGGACCCTGGGAGGTTTCGGGGTTGGGGATTTGACGGTGGGTGGAGACACAACCCTCTTGGGGGGCGTGATGGTAGTAGGAGACTTCACCCTAGGGGGTGATTTGATTCCCTCAGGTTCAGGGGACTTCAAGGCCCTTGGTGATTTGATGCCTGAAGGTTCTGAGGGCTTGATGCCTTTTGGTGTTTTGATTCCTGCAGGTTCTGGAGATTTGACACCCCGAGGAGATTTTGCTTCCTCAGGTTCAGGTGACTTCACTCTCTCTGGAGACTTGACTGGTGCTGGTGACTTTAGTCTGGGTTCAGGAGATTTTATACCCTGTGGTGACTTAACTCCCTCAAGTTCAGGTGACTTAACACTTGGAGCTGGTGACCTAACTGAAGGCTCAGGGGACTTGATGCTGGGTTCTGGTGACTTGACACTGGGGACAGGGGAAGTTACAGAGGGAGCAGGAGACTGAACTGAAGGCTCTGGTGACTTTACACTGGCAGTGGTTGACTTTACAGATGGCTCTGGGGATCTGACAGCTTTGACCTCCTTTTTGGGAGCTGGTCTGCGGATGGTCAGGGTGAAGTGAGCCTCCTGTCGGCCTGCTGAGTTCTCTACCACCACTGTGTAACTACCCTCATCAGACGCCCTTACAGAGGTAATCTCCAGGCTAGATTTGTACTGAGTGGTGCTGACCTGGATGCGGTGAGATGAGACAATGGTTCTGCTCTTGTATGTCCATGTTACAGTGGGTGAAGGATCTCCATCAATATCACAGAAGAATCTTGCTGTCTCTCCCTCTGCAACTGTCACTGACTGGGGCTTGGTGAGGATTCTGGCAGGAAGAGAAGGTTTCACCTTGCGGACAGAAACATCTTCAGTAACAGCAGCAGATGACTTCAGTTTAGTTTCAGATGTGGTGTGTTTCTCAGTCATAGAAAACTTGTCTGATGAAAAGGAGGAAGCAGATGACAGGTATTCAGCAGAAGAGTACCTCTCAGAGGAGGCACCATATCTTTCATGTGTGACAACCTCGTGTGACTCGGTCAGCTTTGACTTGCTCTCTTCCACCTCAAAGTGGGTCTGGGAAGCATAACCAGCTTTGAAGTGGGAGGTGTGATAATGATCAATTCGTGTAACGTCAGGAACATATGCTTTGAGAGCTTCCTCATCCCTGCGGCGAGAGGAGAAGGTGGTGTAGCCACCACCTGACACCTCCAGGGTGGCATAGTCCGAAGCCTCTCCTTTGGAGTTGGAGCACACACAGCGGTATGTTCCGCTGTCCTCTTCCTGGCAGTCCAGAATAGTGATGGACAACACACCACTCATGTTGGTGAAGACATATTTTTCACTGCTTTCAGAGATGGCACTTCCATTGTGGAACCACTCGATCTCAGCCTCTGGTTTGGCTTGGACGTTGAGGGTGAACTTGGTGTCTTGCCCAACTGGTATGCGATGAGATCTCATTCTGACGGTCACACGGGGAACATGGTCGAGACTAAAAGGTGCCTGGGTAACTACCTGATATGTCCTCTCAGACTTCAGAGCAGCCTTTCTGGCCTCATAGCGGGACATGATGTCAAAGCGGGCAGACCGCTCAAACCTGGATGAAGAGCGTGACAACCTTTCGACAGACCTGATGGGGCTGGGAGAGCGAGGACGGGTCCTCTCTGGAGTGGGTGATCTCCTCTCTGTGATTTCTCCCCCCAATTCCACAGGAGGCCCGGCACGTGATGGTCTGATCAGCTCCGACACTGGACGCATCAGCTCGATGTATGTGGGAGACAGCGACCTTCTCCTCCTCATATACTGAGAAATGGTGCGTTTCTTCTTGGTCTCAGCAACCTCAACAGCCTCGTGACTGACCTCCTGCCTCCTCTCTTCGCGCTCTATGGCACGCCGCTCCAAGCGGACAGGGCTGCCAATGGGAGAGGCAGAAAAGCCAAGCTCCAGTTCATCCTCTAGCACCATTTTCTCCTCCTCTCTTCTCCTCATGGAAAGGTAGTCATCCACAGGCATCAGCAGCTCCTCATCACTAAGGTCTCCCAGAGA